AAAAAGCGTGACGTCATTTATGTATGTATTTGATTACCCCCCCCCCCCCCACCCCATACAGGGATTAACATTGGTTATTACGATTCTCAACCAACCCGTTTTTTCTCAGACATATATATTGCAACGTTGAGTTGATGTAACTCCCACGGTGATTGCTTTAAAAATACTAACGATTTTGTATCTATATTCGGTAATAAATTCAGCTGGATGTTGCATGTTTTCTTCATCATTAGCAGGTTTACGTCATGGTGTCACACCCCCCCCCCCCCCCCCAACCGTGTCGGGGATTCGTCCACTTTGCTCTTAAAAGACTATTTAATTCACTCTAATTAATCAATTAATTAAATGATATTATCATTTTTCTGTATATATTTAAGCTATTTTTTGCCTTGGTGTCATCCCCCTAAATGGTGTCACCCGGTGCGGTCCGCACCCACCGCCCCCCCCCCCCATCCTCCCCCGATAGCTACGCCACTGTCGTAAGTAATTCAAGTTTAAGATCTTATACTTATTAAAATTTCGTCTACCTAACTGAAATAGTACTTAAGTTATAGTGTACTACTTTCGGTTTCCGAAAAAACGGTCAAAATTTGAAACAAACGTGCGCATTCAATGTAAAACGTATTCATGAAATTTCGTTTAACGAACTTAAAAGTTAATGGCTTTTGAGAAACTGGAAGTAGAATAAGGGCTACTTCTGGTTACTTAAAAACGCTCAAACGTTGCTACAGAACTACAAATTTGATATAATACCTATACATGAAATTTCGTCAACTTAGCTGAAGTTATCGTGCTCACAGACACACAGAGAGACCTACAGACGTACTAACAAATTTGCAAGTTTTTCCTCATGGAGGGTGTAAAAGAATTATTTCGCTCTATGACAATACCTTCTTTATTTTTCGTATACGAGAAAATAATAGATTATAGCAGTAGGTTTAATTAATATTCTAGATAGTAGGCAGTGGCGTAGGCGGAGGGGTAGGTGGGGTTAACCCCCCCCCCCCCATGGGACCCCTCTGTAAAAATGTGTTTATTGTCATAATACCACTGTTACTTATTTAAATCTATTTCTGAATCAATATACATGTATGATTGAATATGTATGTTTAGAACAGTCATCTAAAAACTGAAGCTATGTTCACTCTGAGTTGGTTATCCCCCCCCCCACCTCACCATCACAATTGGTGTAGAGGCGACATTAATGTCACACCTAGGTATACGCTGGATTGGATAATTGACCTAACGTGACCGGACAGTGGTAAATAAAGTTAAAAATGTATGATCTGAACTGCAAGACCAATATTTTAGTTATATTTAGGCTATTATTCCGAACGTTTTCTTATATATTTAAAAGCGTGGTTTTATACATCTAGTATATATATATATATATAATATATATTATATATATTATATATATATATATATTATATATATATATATATATATATATATATATATATATATATATATATATATATATATATATATATATATATATAGTGATGGAAAAAAGACAACTCGTAAAAAGACAACTCGTAAAAAACGAGAGCGGAGAGACCCTTTCTTCTTCGGTCTCAATCGCAAGTGAATGATTGTCAGAGGTTAGTTGATAGCGGTTAGGACGAGGGCTGGTTACTGACTAGAACACATAGATTTGAACCCGTGTCGAGTGGGATAGCAATCGTGTGCCCAACCACTCGACCATATCGTCTCCCCCAAACTGGCCACCAGTGGTAATAGTTACCTCCTGTAAGTTTAAAGTCGGTTCAAACTAAATTATCTGCCCCTAAGCCTGTCGCGACGTGGGATCGTTCGCTTCACTGCGCGCGGCAAGAGAGAGGCGAGCTACGCGTCGCTCGTTTTTTTTTCTAATGGCTCGCAGAGGAGAATTATATATATAGATTATATAGCGGTCTAAAATGCTCAATAAAATGTTTCCATTGATCAATTTAGTAATAATAACAATTGAATATTCTATGGTCATCCAAAAGAAAGCTTCCCTGAAAATTTCAGCGCGATAGCTAACTGGGAAGTGCCAGAAATTTCGATCGCAAGATTTGATTGGAAAAACAAACAAACAAACAGAGAAAGCAAGTTAAAGAAAACGTGGGAAAAATTCCCTTTTAGAACCTTAAGGTTCATGGGCCAGGTGAAGTCGAGTTCACCTTTTCTGTGACCTAGGCATGTGAATGGATAGAGGGGTCAGCATTATGCCCAGCCGAACGGGAATTAGGTATTGTTTATGTTTTAAAATATAATTCAAGCCAACTTACATCAATCTGAGTCCTGTAAGAAAAACTTGTTTTTTCTGAAGAACTTTCAGTTTTTCTCTTTTTTGTCATGATGACCTTGTCTTGAAAAAGGAACACATGCCTATCCTTCAATCTGGAAGAGCTTGGATCACCTTCCCACACACACAAATCATCCTGAAAGATATTTGTTGAAAATCAGAGGCGTCTCGAGGTGGGAGACCGGGGGGTGCTGACCAAACTGGTTGACGCCCTTTAGGGGGGTGACACCAAGGCAAAAAATAGCAAAATATATACAGAAAAATAAAAATTCCACTTAATTAAGTGATTAATTAGAGTTAAATAGTCTTTTAAGAGCAAAGTTGACAAATCCTGACAAGGGTGGAGGGGCGGGGGGGGGGGGGGGGGGGGGGGTAACACCATAACCTAAACCTGCTAATGTTAGAGAAAACACACTACATCAAACTGTATTTATAAACGACTATAAAATCGTTAGTATTATCTGAGCACAATTTAAAGCAATCGGCGTATTTTATTTAAAAAAAAAGGAGTAATTTCAACACAAATTATAGGGCACTTACCATCTGTACCTCTAGATAATTTTTTGCACGCACCTTTATAGAATACTAGGCCATATAGACGAAATGTTGGTCAGACTGAAAGCCCTCGACGGGGGCTATAAATTAACCGCGATTTAAATTCTCCTTATATGTAATACACACACACACACACACACACACACACATATATATATATATATATATATATATATATATATATATATATATATATATATATATATATATATATATATATATATATATATATAATAAAAAAATATTTCAAATTCGCAGGGGTGGCGCCCCGACAGGGCGCGATTTGTTTTTTTCTATATACGGTATATAAAAATAAAAGTCGAGTTTTGTTTGGCATCGTTCATCCGATAGCCATGAGACTTTGGGGAGTTCATTATACCACTCTAGGGAAGGGTTCTGTAAAAAAATAATTTTTAATTTCGCAAGGGCGGCGCCACGGGAGGGTCCGATTTTTCTCTCAAAACGGTATATAAAAAAATAAAAGTGAATTGCAGTGACACCGTTCATCCGATAGGCATGAAACTTTAGAAAGTTCATTATAAAACTCTAGGGAAGGGTTCTGTAAAAAATCTTTTTTTTTTAATTTCGCAAGGACGGCGCCACGGGAGGGTGCGATTTTTCTATATATACGGTATATAAAAAAAGTCAATTTTGGTGTGACACCGTTATCCGATAGCCATGAGACTTTGGGGGAGTTGATTATAACAATTCAGGAAGGGTTCTGTAAAAAAAATCCTTTTTTAATTTCGCAAGGGCGGCGTCACGGGAGGCTGCGATTTTTCTCTATATACGGTTTATAAAATTTCGGTTTCACACCGTTCATCCGTGTACCATGAAACTTTGGGGAGATGATTAGATTACTCAATGGTAGGGTTCTGCAAAAAAATATTGTTTAATATTGCAAGGGGTACGCCGGGCCTATGCGGTAGTGTAATCGGGGGTTGGGGGCCCTGAGAGCGCCCCTCTACGTCTCTGACACAGGGGCGGTCACCGAAGTGAGTGTGTTCTACCATATTATTTCAGTGAGTGATTAATGTACACTCAAGGTTTTTTATGTAGTAGTGTAGGTAAACCCGTGTCCTGATATTTATGATCCAAGCGCAGGCATTGTTTACATTTAAATAACTCATTTTTAGAAAAGAAGGTCACGCGTCTAAGAACATATAATTGGTAATGCGTTGGTGAAATTCTTGTAATATATTTCGTCAAACTTTCTTCTATCCCCGCGGCAACGCGCGGGGGTCGGGTACGCTAGTATATATATATATATATATATATATATATATATATATATATATATATATATATATATATATATACATTTATGTATACGTGTATGAATATGTGAGAATGTTTGACAGTGGAAGTGTATTAGTTTCTGATTTAATTATAAATTTAATTCAGAGTGTGCTTATTTAATTGATATGTGCGACAGTCTAGCGTCTCAAAGCAAGTAGGCAGTACTAATAGTTACACACACACACACACATACACACATATATATGTATATATACATATATATATATATATATATATATATATATATATATATATATATATATATATATATATATATATATATGTAACTAGGGTGGTTCTAGCTACTAGTTACATATCTGATAACGAACGAGAAGCCGAGACGCAGTATTTCAGTCTGATGCAACCGATAGCAGGTGGCTTATTGGGTCGGGCTGATAACAATCTCAAAGCCAACGCGTGCTATTTTGGGAAACGGTACAGGGGGATTCAGACGGCCTGTCAACTTTGATGGATAGGATGCAGGTGTTTTATTAGTCGGACTGTACGTAGAACTGCGCAACTAGTATTCGGAGACATCGATTACAAGTATCGATTACGGAAATGGATACAAGTACGACTACGATTTCAAGGGATAAATAGGGGGGGACGGCGGAGCTCGACCCTTTTTCCCCTCTTGCCTCTTTCATCACTCGCTTAGATCAGTCAGTCTGTGTGACTATGTCAAGTCGGTTATAGAACGGGTTAGCCGTATTGTGTTAAGGAGGATTATAGACATGTGGATTCAGTTATATGAAGCCTAGTGAAGGACTGTTAGGGGTCAGTTGATTCAGACTATTATTGAGAAGCATTCCTGTTGATTTATTGTGTTATTATGAAGCATTTCTTGATTCATGTAATAAAGGATCAATAGCGAACCTGCATCTTGAGTATCTATACTGTGGTCAATGTTGTCTAGAATGAGTGGTTAAACTCGTTAACACGTGGCACTACAGGTAATTAGGTCTCATTACATGTGGCGTTGCGAGCATGGTAACTGTTGGCTCGTTACAATTGGCGTTGTCGGCAGGATAAATGTTCGCTCGTCACAATTGGCGCTGCGATCAGGATGAATTCAACTAGACTTGCCGTTTAAGGCACCTATAGTCAACCTTGTGCATAACTGTGTTTAGTGTGTGTGTGAATTCGGACATTCAGGAACTGTGAAAATTGAGGAACGAGGAAAAATTTTTCATACACACACGGTAAGAAAGAACTCTTTTTTTTAGTACTTAAGGAAGAAAATGTCTACTCTGGACGAGAAGCAGACCCACATAGTGGTCCTACCCAGAGAGTCCCATATTAACAAATTTTACGGGGACGGAGATCCAACTTTAACCAACAGGTTCAGTGAAGAGGTCAAAGCGGCCTGGGCCTCGAGACATATGTCACCAGAGGAAAGATTAAGACTGCTGATGGGCAGTATAGGTGAAACGGTTAGGGCAGAGGTTAAGTGCCACGATAGGACCGTCCAATCAGATCCAGATAAGGTGCTAGATCTGATTATGGAGACCTTTGGGGAGAGACGGTCGGGAGTGCAACTGCTATCGGGATTCGTGGGCTTAAAGCAGAGAATGGCGGAGAGTGTGATGGAGTACTCACACAGGATGAACAGGGCCTTTGATTTGGTAAAGGGCAAATCACCGGACATTGATGTACGCCTACTGAGGGACCATTTCATCGAGGGGCTAGCAACCCCGATCTTAAGGAGAGAGTTGAAGGAGGAGGTCCACAAAGACCCGCAGTTGACCTTCCTTCAGGTCAGGAACTCAGCGATCCGCAGGTCCGAGGATGAGGACCAATCGAACTGTTCGGTGGACAAAGTCTCTGTGCCTGAACAGAGACAATCCCCACCCACAGGGGCCGACACGATGGAGACCATGATGGCTCAACTGTTGGCCCACCTAGAGAAGGTTGACCAACGTTTGGAGAGGTTGGAAAGCAGGTCAACAGCTGAGAATCAGGAAAAGAACGGGACAAAACAGGGACGGGTTGGACGGCCGCGTCCTGCCAAGCCATCACTCCAATGGACGGCAGACGGTCGACCAATTTGTTTGTCTTGTTCACAACCCGGACATATGGCACGGTACTGCCAGGGAAACGGTCGTCCTCTGTAAGGCAGGGCCAAGCTACAGAGGGGCGAGGTTATGGCCCAAGAAGCAAAATGATGGGAGTCTGTCCCGAAATGGTGATTACGATTGGGGACATCGCGGTGAAGGCAATTGTGGATACAGGCTCCCAGGTGACGACAATCACGGAAAATTTTTACACCAAATGGATGAAAGGAAAAGACCATAGGTTGAGGTCTGACACATGCATGCGCCTGACGGCAGCTAATGGACTAACCATTCCATACTGTGGTTATTTTCTGGCGGATGTCGTGGTGGCAGGACATAGGTTGAAGCAGGTTGGGGTGTTCGTTACGAAACACAACCTAGAGACAAATGTGTCAAATATACCTTGCCTGTTGGGCATGAATATTCTTGGCCAGTTGCCAGAATTTCTTACAAATATTGTCGGATCGACCACACCAGGTCGGGGATCCAAGTTGGCCAGGTTTGCCAAGACCAGAGGAAGGACAGCAGTCCCGGCAAACACGGTCAAGGCAATCACATTACAAATTGGTGATAGAAGCGTGAATGGTGATGTGATGATAGAACCATGTGGCGCCGCACTGAGGGCAGGCGTCGTGTTACTGCGGACATACACATCAGCGGAAAACGGACTAGTTCAAGGGTTGGTAGCAAATGTTTTGGATGAAGAAATTTTTATACCGCCTAACACTCTGGTAGGAGTACCACAGAACGTCGAGGTACAAAGGTCGGCACAGTGCATCGAACTGATCAATACCAGCAGTAATGAAGTAACAATTAGGTCGGTCAATGTGACGGCCGAGGTGAAGAAAAAGGGTGGCCGATCATATATATTCCCGGAAACTGAAGACCCAAAATTAAATGAATTACTGAATAAATACAGGGATGTATTTGCCTCGTATGAGGGTGATTTGGGGTACACGGAAGTAATCAAACACCAGATACCCTTACTACAAGACAAGCCGGTGGCGCAACCTTATCGAAGATTACCACCGAGTCACTACTCGGCGGTGAAGGCACACCTGAATGATCTACTAGAAAAGGGAATTATTACAACTAGTACAAGCCCGTATGCGGCACCGATTGTAGTGGTAAAAAAGAAGTCAGGGGAGATAAGACTGTGTTGTGATTACCGGAAATTGAACAATATCACAAGAAGGGATGCATTCCCCTTGCCTCGTATTGATGAATGTCTTGATGCGTTGGGGGGAGCAAGATTTTTTTCTACCTTGGATTTGGCCAGTGGCTACCACCAAGTGGCCATGCACCCCAACGATCAACATAAAACTGCATTTATTTCTCCACTGGGACTGTACGAGTGGACCCGTATGCCGTTTGGTCTAACTAATGCACCTGCTACATTCCAGCGAGTAATGCAGAGTGCTATGAGTGACTTTCTATTTCAAATAATGTTGGTGTATTTGGATGATATTCTAGTTTACTCAAAAACTTGGGAGGACCATCTAAAAAGATTAGAACAAGTGTTTCTCCGTCTTAGGGAGATAGGAGTAAAGCTGAACCCAGACAAATGCTGCTTTGGTCTGAAATCGGTACATTTTTTGGGTTACGTGATTTCGTCGGATGGCATCGCCACTGACCCAGATAAAATTGCAGCTGTTAAAGAATGGAAACAACCAACAACTACGGTAGAGGTCAGGTCATTCTTGGGCTTTGCTTCCTATTATAGAAAATTTGTGCCGGGTTTTGCAAAAATTGCCGCACCATTGCATGACTTGGTAAACAAAATGACAAAGAAACACAGTAAGGAGAAAAAGAAAGGTAAAACACAACTGATAGGTGAATTATGGACTGATGAATGCCTGAACTCGTTTAAGCTCTTGAAAAAGGCTTTGACAGAGGCACCGATATTGGGATACGCGGACTTTGATAAACCATTTCGGTTAGAAATCGACGCCAGCTCTAAAGGTCTGGGAGCTGTGCTATCACAACAACAAAAGCAAGGTTTCAGGGTTATTGCGTATGCCAGTCGAGCTCTGAAGGGATCAGAGAGAAACATGACAAATTACAGCGCCATGAAACTAGAACTTTTGACATTAAAATGGGCTGTGACTGAGAAATTCAGGGACTATCTATTAGGTGCTAAATATGTGGTATACACTGACAATAACCCCTTGAGTCACCTAAAGACAGCAAAGTTGGGATCCATCGAACAGCGATGGGCAGCAGAATTGGCACTCTTTGACCTAGAGATAAAGTATCGCCCGGGGCGGTCCAATGGCAATGCGGACGCCTTATCAAGGAATCCTTACGAGAGACCGGGTGATGAGGAGGAAACACTGACAGGAATATGTGAGGTCAGAGCGTCAACAGATATCCCTCATGGGGTACAAGTGATGCAGAACGGGCAGACCGGGGTGGAGCACATATCCACGGAACCCGAACATATGGACAGTAGTGATTTTATTTGCCTTAATCACAAAAAGATAAGAGATGCCCAGAGAACGGATAGTGGCTTACAACCGCTATTGAAATACGTCCAGGAACAAAAATTCCCAGGAAGAAGGGAAAGAGAACAATTTGGTCGAGAAACAAAGAAAATACTGAGTCAGTGGGACCGTCTCAGTATAGAGGATGGTGTTCTCATACGGAGAATTCATGACCAAATTGATGGGACAATACACCAGGTGGTGGTGCCTGGACAGTTAAGAGAAGAAGTGCTAAGGTTGGCACATGACAGGGCAGGACACCAGGGTCAGGACAGGACGCACAAAATATTACGACGGAGGTGTTACTGGCCCAATATGGAAATGGAGGTCAAACGCCATTGTGAGGCTTGTGTGAGGTGTCAGCATGCGAAAATGCCAGTTGTCAAAATGAGACAGCCATCAGGACACCTACTAGCGACAAAACCACTAGAGATTGTGGCGATGGACTTTACGTCGTTGGAGCAATCATCGGATGGGACGGAACATGTGTTGGTAATGACTGATGTATTCACCAAATGGACTGTGGCGGTGCCCACACGAGATCAGACTGCCAAAACAGTGGCAAAGGTATTAATAGAACATTGGTTCATCAAATATGGCATACCAAGACAATTACACTCTGACCAAGGAAGGGCTTTCGAGTCAGAAGTAATTAACCAACTGTGCAGCCACTACGGGATCAACAAATCTAGAACAACCACATTTAATCCGAAGGGAAACGGACAGTGTGAACGGTTCAACCGCAGCATGCATGATTTGCTGCGTACGCTAGAACCTGAACAGAAAAAACGTTGGCCTGATTTTCTCCCAGAGTTGGTATATCTATACAACTGCACACCCCATGCCACAACCGGCTTTACGCCATACATGTTGCTGTTCGGACGAGAGGCTCGACTCCCTCTTGATTTGTTCCTAGGAAAAAGGGAGAGTATGACTGGCTCATACACCGCACTGGAATATGTGAATGAACATATGAGAAGAATTAGAGAAATGTACAGGGTAGTACAGGAAAGACTAGAACATGAATCTCGGCGAAGGGAACCGCCGATACAGACGAAGGACCCGCCACTCAAACTGAATGACAGGGTATTACTGCGTAGCCACCCGTTAGGCAGAAACAAAATCCACGATCTCTGGGGACAGGAGATATGGCAAGTCGTGGAGATGCCTAAAGCAGCAGGTGGCCCCTTTAAGATAAGACCCATCGATCACGCCAAACCGGATCGGTGGGCGAATATTGCTCAATTAAAGAAATATTGGAATAGGCAAGAAGAGCAGTTACACACAGAGAAACCCAAGACAATTAGGGAACCGGAAGTTATAACGGAAATTCACATACCCATTCCGGAACCATATCACCATCAACAGAACAACCGCGATACGCAAGGGGAGGATACCGGCAACAATGAGGATCCCGGTCCCTCCAGAAGCAGAGAGACAGTAGACCATCAGATAAGTGGTCCGCGGAGAAGTTTAAGGAACAGAAGGAATACGAAATTTTTTGTCAGCAACCATCAATTCTTTCATGGTCGCGCTGGTATGAAAACAGACTGTTCAAAGAGCTATAGAAGTGAACTGGTGAAGGCACCAAATGGAAAGGGTGGATGTGAATTCTAGAACTGTTTTGTGTCTCAGGAAGATGATGTAGACACAGTTGATATGTGAAATAGGTATAACTGTCAATCGTATACGAATGGAACGTCGTGGACAGTGAGTGGAACAATAAAAATTTTTTTTACGATGATGCGATGGACATTTAGGAAGTGCACCTGCCAGGCGTTGTTTGTGGTTGAAAACACACAAAAAAAGCAGGGGTGGATGTAACTAGGGTGGTTCTAGCTACTAGTTACAAATCTGATAACGAACGAGAAGCCGAGACGCAGTATTTCAGTCTGATGCAACCGATAACAGGTGGCTTATTGGGTCGGGCTGATAACAATCTCAAAGCCAACGCGTGCTATTTTGGGAAACGGTACAGGGGGATTCAGACGGCCTGTCAACTTTGATGGATAGGATGCAGGTGTTTTATTAGTCGGACTGTACGTAGAACTGCGCAACTAGTATTCGGAGACATCGATTACAAGTATCGATTACGGAAATGGATACAAGTACGACTACGATTTCAAGGGATAAATAGGGGGGGACGGCGGAGCTCGACCCTTTTTCCCCTCTTGCCTCTTTCATCGCTCGCTTAGATCAGTCAGTCTGTGTGACTATGTCAAGTCGGTTATAGAACGGGTTAGCCGTATTGTGTTAAGGAGGATTATAGACATGTGGATTCAGTTATATGAAGCCTAGTGAAGGACTGTTAGGGGTCAGTTGATTCAGACTATTATTGAGAAGCATTCCTGTTGATTTATTGTGTTATTATGAAGCATTTCTTGATTCATGTAATAAAGGATCAATAGCGAACCTGCATCTTGAGTATCTATACTGTGGTCAATGTTGTCTAGAATGAGTGGTTAAACTCGTTAACACGTGGCACTACAGGCAATTAGGTCTCATTACATGTGGCGTTGCGAGCATGGTAACTGTTGGCTCGTTACAATTGGCGTTGTCGGCAGGATAAATGTTCGCTCGTCACATATATATATATATATATATATATATATATATATATATATATATATATATATATGTATATATATATGTATATATATATGTATATATATATGTATATATATATATGTATATATATATGTATATATATATATATATATATATATATATATATATATATATATATATATATATATATATATATATATATATATATATATATATATATATATATATATATATATATATATCTGTTGCTCGAATGTCAAAGATAATTTTAGCTTGCTCGAAAGCTTGTATTTCAAAAATCTTGCATGTCAAGGCATTTGTACTTTGAGGTACAACTGTTTATATATGTGCTGTTTGACTGAATAAATGTTGTATATAAATATACTTGCTGCATAGCCATTATTATCTATGATTTAAAAAAAAAAACTGTAAATATTTTTTTTTAAGAACAGAAGAGAACAGAACAGAACTTTGAAAAGAACACAAAACAGAATGCAAAATAGTAGGCCTAAATCACACAAAACATATATGAAAAACAAGAGCACAAAACACAAAAACACTCAAAAAAAAGTAAGTGCTTTTTTAATTTTAGTATCTAGTTAACTAAATTTTTTTCACTTGCGAAATATTGAAAAGGTTTATGGGCAGTGATCTTAAGTGAGAGGAAATAATGACACTTTTTAATACAGTTTAACCTACTTTTGAACATTTTAATTTTGAACTTGTTCTACCCTTTCAAACTACTATCTTGATGGCACTGACAGAAGCTTATTACATTCTTAACAATTTTTGTTTAAACTCATTCCTTGATAGTTTTACAACCAGATGCATTCTTGAATAACCAATTTATTTTGGTCAGTATGCTAGACACCAAATATAAATAAGATGCTTAAAATTTATACTGCTTAACTCATTTACTAGCAAAAATGATGAAATAAAAATGAACTTTAACATACATGTCTGATGAGAGGAGAAAAATGTGCTTTATCTGCCTCCAAACCCTCAATTAAAGGAAGAATTTTGCCATTTTCAACTTCTTTTTCAATAGAAATCAGCATTGCTATTGCTGCTTCAACATCTGAGCAGTTTTCACCTGCTCTTGCAGAGAAACGTAGAATGTCCTGAAATTAAATATTTTACTGTTTTACTTTTTTTATTTTGAAAAGAGAATTGTTTAAAAAATAAGAGTAGCCTACTTTCACATCTATGATGCAAAGCAATTTGCAGATACTGGAAAGAGGGGCAACAATTTATTTTGAAAAAAAAAATCATATTCATGAATATATGAATTCATAATATATACATGAATGCTTTCCAGAGTTCTAATTGACATATTTTTTGGGTAAACTATAATTCAGGAGGACATTTTGAGTGATTTAAAAAATTCTTAATATTCTACCAAAAATAGCTCACAGTTGTTTTAATAATCTTTTGAATACAAGTTATTTTAACTAACTTTCAACATCAGCTGATACATTTTTAATCTATCCATTGGCCGCTGAAGCAATGTAGTGACAGTATCTTTTAATTTTAAGTGCCTCTGGCTTAGTTCCTGAAACAAAATTAATTTCATAATTTTAAAAAAGTTGAAATATAAAGTTTAATTTATTGTCATCCTAAAATATCTTTAATAAATGGTGTCATGATTTAGCACTAGTTTAGTATTATATGCTTAGATGCTGCATGAAAAGAAATCTAAGGAAGTGATCTACATTAATGTGCTGAACAAAAATAAATTTCTGACAAATATGACTGTTTTAAATTTTTTTTTGATAAATAAGTTTCCAAAAAGACACCACTTTGCATTAAATCGCATGCAACCGCTCCATTTGCATATTCATTGCATAAACTTGTTTGTGTCCATTGTTTTATCTAAAATAAAGTAGACTGAGCTCACCAAATTTTCACAGGGGACAAATTAAAATTTTAATTCCAGATAGCGGATTTAGCTCAAAAATTGAAAGAAACCTGCATATAATCTACCATTGATCTATGAAACTTCCACACACAGACGGAAGAGGTACAAAAACCATTCACTGTCAAGACATACCACATAGCTAAATAAGGGGTGTTCCAACTGAAGTAGATTTTAAACATTATTTTTATACTACAAGACTCTACATTACAATCCCCTTTCTTTAACTGAGTATAATTAATATAGACTATATCTATCTGACCAAATAAAATTTTAAAATATTAAGAACACAAATACCTCAATAAATTGCTTCAGAATACTTGTTTCAAAGAGATAAAAAGCTGTGTCCAAGTAAGCCCAGTATTTGATATAGTTGCAAAATTCAGTTTTCTAGGGAAAATAAGGAATAAAGCTAAAACATTTTAAAGGTTTTTATGTTAATATATCTTAAAATAATATTTTTGTAAATATTTAAAATTATAAGCATTATATTTGTAGTAATGTATCTTACCCAAGTAAGAAATGTTACTCCGACCTCTGATGGGTTGACGCAACATTTAGTCAGTTCAGACAAGAAAGTGCTAAAAGACAAAATCATTTTTTAAAGAAACTTCCGTTAAAGTATGTAGGCCTAATCATCAAATTAAATTTAGTTGATTGCAGCTGTTTTTTAATAAAGAATATTAAATATTTCAACACAATTTTTTCGTTTTATTTAATTTTTTTTTTTTTTAGTATTTCAGGTAATATAACTCACCTTTCATGAAATTTGAGGATTCCAGTCAGATTTGTAAAAAGTGTTTCGATGCAAATACTGTCAATATCTGACATAACTTGTGGATTTGATACCACTGGTTTAATATATGTTTCAAGCAGATACTTAATTTCTCTGATGTATTCTCTTTCTGTTTCTTCCATTTCTTTAATAACATATCTTTAAAAAAGAAAAGAAAACAACAATCTATACCAAACTATACTACTATACTTGTTTTAAAGAATTAATGGTTTGCATGAATTATATTTTGAGACTAAGAACATTTTGTTAGAATATATGTTTAGAGCTTTTTAATTGCTGATGTGTTTCAATTTTACTGCTAAAAAATTACAAGATTAATATACTATATACCTTGAAGGAATGTTAATTTTTTTTTAAAAATAGAGACCTTGTTTTACTTGATGATGAAATTTTTTTTTTAAAACGATGTGTAGGCCTACATAACATCCATAAAAAAAATTAAAATCAAGATTACAAACTTAAATAATATGATTCATGGGTGAACAAGCACACTATTGCCTACTTAATCTGATTTTAGGAATTTAATCACACATTATGATATAAAGTTTATAAAGGATAGCCTACATATTTTTCATGAGCATAAAATATATATTATATATGTGTCAAGGGAGGGGTTCGACCACTGAATGAATAAAAGTTAACAAATATATTTTGAATTCAATAACTTACATGATGGGTTGACACGGTGATATAGAATATGTTTTAGATTTTTCACAAGCAAAAAACAGCATGCCAATACCGAGCTGATGAGGATACTACTGAGCAACTGTATAATATAAAACTAAAGTCAAAAGCTAATGCTGCAAACTATACTATCTGAGCTATTCACTAACCTGACAAATGTCTCTAACCCCTACAACACAAAAAACAGTTAGGCCTAGATCTATTTACTAATCAGTCTTAAGGCCAAGCCAAGTAGTAGTCTATTTTCTTAACTGACAGGATATAATTAAGTAATAGGGTCTTAGAGATATGGTGGGCCCCATTGAATCTGTCTCCCTTTAGGTCCTACCAGTTATGATACTGTTCTTAGGTTTTACTAGCAAGGAATTTGTTTTAAATTTTGGATTTCTAAAATCAGCCATTTTTTCAACTAACTTTTAAAACTTGCTAATCCACATTTTTGCTGAGATTACAAAACTATTTGGTAGGATACAATGGTGTCTGTGGAGAATTTCTTACATATTTCTTTAAAAATCTTTAGGAATGATTAGGAGTAATATAGTCAGATTAAATTGTCAGAGATAGTCAGTTTATGTATTGACTTCAACATTATATATATATATATATATATATATATATATATATATATATATATATATATATATATATATATATATATATATATATATATATACTAATAAGAAGAAACATTTATTGTTGGGTCTACATTCAATTATAAAATTGAATAGCCATGAAAAGACCAAAGAATAAATTTTGTTAAAACTTCTTTCACACATCAGATACCTTATTTGATTGTTCTGAATGCTTCCTGCACATAGATTTATTTTCTTGTACTACAGCTTCTAATTAGACCTATTTTGAGATGATTTCTGGGTCATGCTGGGAAAGAGTATGCAAGGGGGAATCACAATCATAGGAGCTCATCTGTGGAAGGCATCTAATTCTATTATACATGGTAGAATATAAAGTATGGAAGGCATTGACAAGAGAGTGGGAAAAACAAAAGTGCTTTCTAGTTGATAATAATTGCACAACATATTACAATCTGAGGGAAGTCATTTTCTTAATTTTAGATGCAATTTAAAATATTTATTTTGTAATACATGTCAGCCATTTTAAAACAACCACTTTTGTAACATTCTACTAATATTTTTATTGTGAGATAGATCTATAGACAAATCTATTATACATAAGCATTTGAAGTTTTGTATTGAATTTTAAAATTGGGGAAAAGATGCAGGTATCTACAGTAGAAGAGGTACAAAAACCAGTCATTGTAAAGACAGTATGTTTTTTATACCTTCGCTTGAGTCCAGCCTCTTGCTGTTTATTCTTAACCTGCAAAACTTCTTCCCTAAATGTTTCTCGAGTAGATCTACGCATGAATTGTGCAGAAACTGATTTCTCCTCCAAATAAGCAGATGGCACCCAGCCTTGTTTAGATGGATTATTTTTAGTAGGACGTGTTTGAACAAACCAAATATCAGCCCTTTCCCTATCAATAATTTCAACTATTTGCCCTTCTGATAACCGAACAGAATTCTTTTCTCCATCTGGTGGCATGTAGTCTGCTATAGCTATGTAATCTGGATAAGTCTAAAAAATTAATAAAGATAAAAAATTTAACAGTACATAAGGGACTTTTGTACATTTATATAATAAGCAATTAGCAACTAAATAAATAGAATTTTTTAAAAATTGCTGACCCATTCTCTAATAGCTTGATAACTTGATAACAACCACATTTTAAAGTTTATCATCATTGTTCTAGAAATATAGTAAAAGCTTACTCCTCTTAGCCTAAATTCATCTTCAGATGTATCCCCATCAAGAGAACCATATTTGGGTGAGTGGGTTAATTTTCTGTCCTTTTTCTTAACAGCTGTGATTTCTGCTAATAAAAACAGCATAATAGAAGGAGCATAATAGAAAGGGTATAATTAATAAACATAGTGTAAAAAATAATCTTGAAGGACTACAGGTGAAAAGGATTTCTGCGGAGACGATCCGCGTAGTCTGGATTAACAAATTGATTGGTAAGGAACAAAAAGTCTTTTTGTGGCACCCTATAATATCTCCTTTACATCTTTGGCTATAAGAAAAATACATAACTTATATATATAAGAGTATAGAACCAAAGTAACTATATATTTAATAATTAAGTTATAAATAAACAACTCATGAAAAAGACAAAATTGAAAATAACCTTTAAAAGTTGTTATAATTTAACATACAAATAATTACAAACTAATCCTCAAATTAAGTTTGCATAAGTTTAATCTTGGAAACAAAATAGTTACATGTTAATTTAAACTTTGGGGGCTGTAGTGTAGGCAGCTTAATAAAAGTTATAATCTGTCAATTTGGCTTGAAAATGTTCAATATAAACATTAGCTCAATTGCTTAAAGTAAATGTCATTATACAGGGGACCCACAGCCGGCCATCTATATATATGTTACGGTCAAAGGCCGAAGTCGGCCAAAGTACGCATTGGCCGGTCAATGCGCGCATTGGCCAATACCGCCTCCAACTGACCGGGCAAAGTCCGAAACTTTACTTGATTTCGGCCTTTGGCGGACTGGCCAAGGTAGACCGGCCAAAGTCTGAAATGGCTCTTGATTTTGGCCGTTGGCTCTTGATTTCGGCCTTTAGCCGGCCAGTCCATGGACTGGCCATGGTGGACCGGCCAAAGTCCGAATTAGAAGATCATGAGCAGATTTTGGGGTTGTTTTTTTTTTATACCGTAAGGATCATGAAATTAGGTCTTTATTAATTATTAATTAAAGTAAATGAGAGAAACATTACATTCGAATTATGTTATTGTAATATAGCCTATTCTCAATTAATATTATCATTTGTTACAAGTTGAACTTTTATGGCATTTAGAATTACATAGTAGCTTGTTATTTTTACACTTGCAGCGATTTGTTGTGCAGTTGGTTGTGCAGTTACAGCGAGTGTATCTTGGCCGCCAATCAGTGATTTTTAAGATGCAATGGTTCTTAGTGATTTTTTCTCAGTGCCAACGGACGAGAATACAGTTGTTTTAGAACACCAAGTTCCGTGTTTAGCTTGTAGAAAGCGCCCTCGACGCTCATGACAACTGCAATGACGCTTCGGGGATTACCGCAATCTCTGTCAACATCTGGTATACTGATGCGAACATTATCTTCCACTTCAGCTTGTTTAAAATTTGTATCTGATTTTGTTAGCATCTTAGCACCTTCAGTTTGCAAGCAAGTATGAGCTGCTGACCTGTTGTCCATGATTTCTTGTTTATTGTGACATAATCTCCAAGTAATATGGACATCGTTGCCACATGATCCACAAGAATGGGCTGCACTACACTATTTTTTCACAAACTATACAGAATCTGTTGACCACATTATTGTCACACAACCGGTCTGTACATTCCACCACGGTAGCATATGTATTAGCTGAGGATGTCGTTACATTTATGGCAACCTCCATTTCTTGTTCAATGTTCTCAAGATCTTCCTCAGTAACTAAATTATCGAGAGCCTCTCTTGGTAGTTTTGAAGTGCTAAGTCCCACTTTTGCTTTGCATCCAAACAAGGTTTCGTATGGCAATTGTTGGATTCCTTGATAAAAAGAAAGGTTTTTCATTAATTGAATGAATTTCAGACTCTCAGAAAATTGAGCTGATTCGTTTGTCTACATCCATGCCATCATGTTTTGAACATCTTGGCTGGTACGTTCGACTGAACCTTGGCTTTAGCTATGCCTTGGTTTTCCGTGAACTAGTTTAAACCCTTTATTTACGGAATTATGTTCTGAATGAGATTTTTACTTAAACAATGTGTTACTATATTGCTTTTGGCACATTCAAAGCATATATCGAAGGAAATTTCGTTTCATAAATTTTTAATGGCCCAAACAGATATTGGTACTTATAAGTACCGTCAGTAAACTAGGACATTTTTTTCAAAAAATTTTTTTTTACAAAACAGGAACAAACGATACAATTTATTAACTAATAACATGGCAATCATTATAACAATCACTTTTGTAATTTTCACACATAAATACAGCACAAAAGTATCTTTGAGTACGATTTTTACTGGATTTTCTATCGGAACACATCTTAGACCTCAAACACAGCAAAAGTAGTCGACATGTCATGCTCCCTAAATCTTGTGTGTGGTCTTTCTGGTGTAGCAACGGTTGCCGGAATGAATATGCTTTTGCTGGAAGCTTCCAATAACTAGTACAATGAGCCGCATAAACAAACAAAAGCCTAGTCATTCAGCACACAACTACTAGAAATACTAATATAATTGTAGTCTACTATAATATTATGACAAGTCTACACTACAGTGCAAAGTTCATAAATAGAAGTGAGCTCAATGTGTTTTGGAAGAAGTAGTGGATTACTCTTTTCTGTTTACTGATTACAATTTACCTTATAGATCTATACTATATGCAGAAGTATGGACTATTACTAGTCTACAGGTATACATTATGTAAATGCTAGTAGTTGTAGGCGAGTCAGTTTATTGCAGTAAATATAACTAACAAATTAAATCTTACTACCTGAACTAGGCTTTGGTATACAAATGAAGTATATTAAACCTTATAAACGAGCCTGCAACTGATACCTTTATTCTTGTTATTTTTTTACTACTAGAAATTAACATGTAATTACAATATTTCTTAGGTAAACCATATGCAAACCTTCTTATAAATGTGTAAATATCATTTTTTGAGTACATTTCGATAAGTAATTATCAAGACAATATTTATGTAACTCCACCTAACAAATCTGCAATTTTCTAAAAATCCTAAAAAAATGACCGTGTGCCCTGACAGTACTTATAAGTCCACTTGTAAACATTGATCTAATACAAAGACAATTTGATTAAAATTGTATAACTAGAAGTTAAACGCGTTTGCCTGACTATTGAAGGCGCCAATAAAAAATATTTGGGGTTGAAAACTTGAAAAATAAGGTAAAACAAAGGGAAATCAGGAACGTGTGTGAGAAATGTACAGAAAAATTGTGAACTACCGATATAGCAAGACATTGAAAAAGCGCCACACCATTAATTTTTTAAAAAACATTGATACCTCCAACTACCGGCGACTCGGGGGAGATAATACTATAAAATACATCAATAATTTTTAAAATTCGTATTTAATTAAAAATAATACAGGCACTTAATTAAAGTGGTACTTATAAGTACCGTCAGTAGATAAAGAGTTAAGTGAAGGCCACGTGTTCTTTAGTTCAGAAATATTTTGGCAGCCATCTGGTATGTCTGTCTCTTGGTCTGACGGCCCTTTTGGTCCATGTCGCAATGCATATAGAATGCTATACAAACAAGAGCGAAACAATACGTTTCTCACAATGAAACCGCACCCAGAATAATCAAAACGCGATCACAACTTAGTCTAGATAGGACATTGGCCAGTACGTCCCTGCCAATGCGCACATTGGCCGGCCAATGCGTGCTTTGACCGCATTTCGGGCTTTGACCGTGACATATATAAGGCAAAGTTGCCAGGTCAAAATTGGCAGGATCCTGCCTTGGGTCAATAGTGCACGAGGACCGGTGTTGGTTGACCGAAAAGTTCACGAAGAGCGGGTCAAAACTGACCTCGACTGACCGGCGCCTTATATGGGCTATATACCGAAAATAATTCCCCACGTAGGAACCTTTTCAAAACTCCCGAGGTCGTAGACCGACCCTCGAGGGTGGCAAAAAAAAACTATGATATGTTCCGGAAAATTCCAGAAGACCGTTAGAACTGACCAGTCAGAATTTTCTCTATAAAAAATTTGTTAATTTTCTGAAAAAAACGATGACTCTTTTCAAAACAATGTTTTGGAACTTTGTCTCTGTACATCTCGCTCGTTTTTTCCATAAGCCTGCGTAAATGAATCAGGCTTATGGATAAACTATCAGTCAGCCTCTGTTTGCACGACGAGGGCTAAAAACTGACCGCGAGTGAAATTCTCCTTATATGAGCTATATATCGAAAAATATTTCCCACGTAAGAACCCTTTGAAAACTCTTGGGGTTGTACATCGGACCCTGGAGGCCAGCAAAAAAATATTGCTACCCTCGGGAAAACCCCGGAACAATATTTTAATTGACCAGAGGCAGTGGCGGAACTAGAAAAAATGGGCCACCCCGCAAAAAAATTTTTTGGGCCCCCCATATATGTATGTATATATATATATATATATATATATATATATATATATATATATATATATATATATATATATATATATATATATATATATATTTATATATATATATATATAAACACGCAATACGAACATAGGATACTCATATCTGGCCTGATCGGTTTTGAAAAAAAAAATTCAATTAAATCTAATCACAACAACATGTCATGTGTATCAGTGGCGGAACTAGAAAAAAAGCCCCCCCCCCCCGAAGAATTTTTTTGGGCCCTATATATATATATATATATATATATATATATATATATATATATATATATATATATATATATATATATATATATATATATATATATAACAAGGTTCGCTCTCAATTTAAAAAAAATTCCATCTGGTACACGAATAAATCAGAGGTTTTCCAACACACGAGCTGGCCCCTTTCTAAATCTAGTCCAACACACTAAACTGAGGCTTTCATCAAAACGTTACTAACCGTGTGCCCTGTTTTCCAGAAGTTGAATTAAATGTTAACAATGTCGGCAGTTCATTTCTTGGATCTTAGGGCGCGGGTTTGTCCACACTAACAACTAGACACGCCAAGGCATGCTGTAAATCCCTCGGCGACGGCCCAGGTGTCAGGGGAGTCACGGGGCTCTTGGACCTACCGGTTACATTACTGCACGGGTGATGGGTGTGACACATTGTTTCTTCCGGCAGAGCT